AATGCCGAATATTAGATGCTTTAAAAAACTTACCCAAGGCGGTTTGTTGCATGTGTCCCGTCTACATTCACTACATCTGGAAAGCGTCGGAATAACGCTATCTGTTGCCATCGGGAGAAACATATGTGGCTAGAGTGACTTTCCTCTCCCTGACACACAAGGACGCGTCCGGTCTCCCGAAGTTTTGCCAGGACCGAAGGCATATCCTCTGCTACATTAAAACCCAACCATTCGGCACCTACTCAACATAACCGATCGACAATTCCGGCGGCAGTTGTGTGCATCCTTAGTGGTAGGAACCCTTCTGAATTAATCCGCCACAAACTGCCGCACCTCAGATGACGGCGTTCCATATCTCAGCAGGGCCTGGCATGTGCCCAACTTGTCTTTGATTAGGCGTCGATTGACCGGAAGCCGATCGTACAGAAACTTTGACAGTTTGTGGTTGTGTTCCAGAAAAAAAGAGGTCACTGCCATTTGGTTCCTTCGCCTCCTTAGACACTGGAGGCACTGGACGGCTGGTGCTCCGCGTACAGTTTTTATTAGAAAATACGCTCGGTTTACTAGCTTCTTCGGATTTTACGGCTTTCCGTTGGTCTTGGAGGGCACCCGCTGCATTTGTAGTACATCCATTCGTAACGCAAAATAGTGTTGGTGCTTCGATTACTGGATGAACGCACAAATATCACAAAGTTATCCCTCATGTATTCATTTAAGCTCTTCTCAAATGCCGTGAAGGATGAAAACGATACACCCACAAATTTCCCAACGAAAGCCACTTCCGAAGCCATAGCAGACGAAGTTCAAAGCCGAATGTGCGCCAATAATTTTCAAAAGAGATCGATTAAAACAAATCGCAAAAAAATGATGGCAGATGCGGGTGGTTTTCAGTCCACGCATATATGCAAAGAAGTGCAACATTTTGACGTTAAAGTTTTTATTTCGCCCGCAGGGGAAAAATGCATTGTGCGTCTAGCCGCTGGCTTGTATTATCGCTTTTTCGCTGCCCTGTGCCAACAACAAATTATTTTAAAGAGGACAATTATTGGTGAGTCTGTTTTATCTGACCTCTCTTATAATATACTCAACCCTGCGTTATTATTTTTATTTCTTTGCCACACACTCTTCGTAAAGTGACTTATTGAGTAGCCAGACCATTTTAATGGTTTCACTATTTTTAATAAGGATGAGAGGCCAATCGGGTGTAAAGTTGGCTAAAATATTGTTTGATATGTCTCTAATAAGCAACCATGATTTAATCGAAGTTAACTTCTCAAGTTTGTCCTTGGACAGCTTGACGGGATAATCCGTCTGTTGTAGGGGGTGTATAGTGGAACCGAGCTAATCTGCCAATTCCAAACTCACCCAAATGTTGAAAAACCCGAGTTGCTGGAAATAATGTCTTGGCGAAGTTGCCTAGAGTACCTGGGTGCGAAGCACATGTATGACCACCGAAGTTGAAGCAAAGGAAATCGGTCATTGGCCACCGAACTATTCGCAGCCTGATCGTTAAGAAATTCTTCAAAATCAATTTTTAAGAAAACAACTGGGTTACAATCTAAGTCTGGGCCAGTGAGAACCAAAAGCAACCTACCTATACATGGTTGTGTTTTTTGCCAGTTTACCGTGTATATAAAGTTGGCATAGGTAGCATTTGTCCATAGGGGTGAAACCTTATTTACAATACAAGTGCACCAATAACAATGTCGGTAGACGTAGTATGAAGGGGGGTTATATATTGACGGATTGGCGAAAGCGGACACTACAGAAATTTGAACAAAACAGTGTAGAGATGAGAGGCGAGGTCTCAGGCCATTCCACCTGGACAGAGTATTAAGAAGGGGGGATCCGGAGCACATTTAGAAATGTCAACATATATCAAACATGCGGTTGACACGATCGCATTATTAAGTGGGTCACTGACTAATGAGAAATACTCACACCGGCACACCTAAAGTATGCTGAGGTTCCAGATGAGGAACCTTTGACTGACTGGTTGGCCCGACAATCCTTAATATCGAAAGGGAGATTTGGTTTCGAAATTCTATGGAACCATTTACAGAAGTGTGAGTAAATTTATAGAACGAACCTCAAATGTTCACGTTAGTAGCGTCAACAAGTACAAAAGTCTGTCACTGACGGGCACGACCCAGTGTCAACGTCCGTAAACAAAACAAAGTAGAGCAGAATGTTAGCCCACTAGTTTGGGATGTGGTCTTCCCTTCCGACGACAGTCTCGTGATTATCATTGGCCGTGATATTGCACGGAACCTACAAAAAGCAAGTCAAGACGGGCTCACCAAGCGGGACACGAACGCGCATAGATACGTAGGTCAGCTGCGCACATTCATACACAGATAAGTATCCAAACACACAGTATCTGATGCAGTGGCCTTTGCGGCAAGGTGAGCGGCGGGTATACATAGGTAAAACAAGTACGTAAGAGGAGCTGGCAACTGCATGGGAGTGTTGTCATGTTGGGTTATTTTCAAATACGTACATCACCTGGAAAGCAATTTGAGCCGCATATTTGTGTATTGTTTGTTTATTCTTAATACTCGTTATGCAGGCATATGACCCCAGCTCTTAAGAGGAGCCCCATCACTTCGATTCCCTCAACAGCTTCTATAGGCACCCAGGTCGTCATCCACTTCACACCATTTAGGAGCGGCGTCCACGTGGATCCTTAACTGAGGGACAAGCACCTAGGATTATATATAGGTCTTCTTCTACGTGTGTGGATATCCCTGACCAAACGAAATCCCGCCCTCCACCGAAATGCGCATCCCTGATCCGACATGACACTCAGCACGGGGCTGTTCGGAAACCTGTGTTTGGGTGCAATGATGTTATGGCACTATTACAATCTCATGGCACATCCACAACTGGACTGTCCACTTCCGTCCTCGCGGAACCATACGAAAATCTGCTCACCTGGACTAAACCATATTTTTGGCTAACCCTCTCAAACTCACTAAACTCGTCTGTTGAAGTAAAAAGGCTCTGTGCGCTCCAAAAATGTTCTAAACCAAAAGTCATTGATTTTCTCTGAATTCGTCGTTACGTGCTGCACGGCAACGCTGCTTCACTCCTTCAATGAAACTTCATCCTCTACTTCGCTCTAACAGCGGTAATAGTGATGAAGTACGTTTTCCATATGCAACGGCATCCTGACCTGACGCTACCAATCGTCCGCAACGGAAACCTCTCAAGTTCATCTCCACTTGCGCTTCTAATCAAAATGACCATAAAATCAACTATTCGAGGCCACGCAATCACAGCGATGGTCAACATCAACATCATGGAGATCATGACACAAGTGTTCAACACTGATGATCCACTGCCATACAACCACAGTTTATTTGAAAGCCTTATTGTAAAGAAAGAGTAGAGGTGGCCTGGGTAGGGACTTAGTGATAGCTTACCACAATCATTCCGAGGTGCCAGACATTCACTCAGGCGATCGGGATAGAAACTGACAACAAGCACGCCACTGGCACCGATTAGCATCCATATCTTGTAGTGTCTCCAACCAGGCACAGTGAGGACCACGCAGTCCCAATCCTGGAAGGCGAGTAGCACCGACAGCACCCGAACGTTTCGTGGTCTCCTTCATACTCCTGTGCCGAGTCAAGTTTGCCCACCTCTCTGTTGACGCCACCCTGAATTGGGCGTAGAAAACAGCACTCTCTTCGGCTACCGATGGTTTAGCATGCGTAAAAATGTCCTAACCAACTCAGCTTCTGTTGCTGGACACATTCTTCAATGGAAGTACCCGTTGCACAACCAAACACACATTTTCTAGCTGCCTCATTACGAATTCAATGACACCAAACCACACGAGCTATGGTTCTGAGACAAAGATTGTCGAACACCTGAAGACGTCTCAGGTCCGCTGTACAAATAGGCCAAGTCTCACAGCTATACAACAAAACAGCTCGTACCGTAGCTTTGTGTGCACGTCCCTTCAGATTCAGGGATAAACCACTCTGGCTCCATAGGTGTCTCACATTAGCAAACGCGGCCTGAGCCTTGCAGATTCGTGTATTCACCTCATCTGCCGCACTAATTTTAGAACGAATATAACTCTCAAGTTACATAAAACGCTCCACAACTTCCAGTACCTATCACTGGATTGTAAGTGGCGTGTTCATTGACTGAATGTCCACGAGCATGACCTTATACTTTGACGTGAAAGTGCTTACCAAAGGACGGCTGATTTTGGTCAGTTAACCCAAGAACCATTCCGCCTTCTCCTTTCCTTCGAAGATGAGAATGATGACGTCCGCATATTCCAGATCAACAAGGTGTTCTTCACAGGCTATTTGTACACCGGGGTTTTGGAGACCTTCCGGCCTTTGTCTCATTATTCCGCCGATCACCAATTTAAAATGGAATGGGGAGAGTGGGCATCCCTGATGGACATCGCTTGGTGTACAGAAGCTCTTGGAAAGCTCTCCGTACACTGATTCATCATCCCCATCCTCGACAACAATACAACAGTAATAAGCAGTTGTGCTACACATCCAGAAGTCTATGAATACAAAGAAGGTATTATGTTTAAAATTTCCGAGGCATTCCGTTGCGGACAAGCGCCTCAAGCAAAACAGACCAACTAAACGAGTCGGATGCGCCTCGGAAACCCAGAAATACTAGAATTGTGGGTCGCTTATACATATGTTGTTATTCAAGCAGCTGATGGAGTGTTGGCATTTGATCAATGCAACCCCGATCAGACCGAAATTCTACTTGTTGCTTTTGAGTCAGTCTCATGATCTACTATAAGGTTACGAGACACTAGTGACGTCAGCGGTCTCTTTGAGACCGGTGTCAAGCTGATCCCACTGTGGTTGCCACGTTCATTGCGCGTCTCTTTTCGAAAACGAGCGTTATCACCGATTCTCCTCAGTTGTCTGGGACAGACTCTGTTTCACAAATGCAAGCAAACACGTCGAACAAGCTCTATCTGGGGACTTCACCCTTGTCCTTGAGCAGTGAGGGTAGAAGGCCATTCGGACCAGGAGCTCGATGGCGCCTGAGCAAACATATGCAGTCGTAAACCTCCGAGACTGTAGGTGGTTCCACGTTCACCCCCCAGGAATCTGCTTCACCAGTGGGCTCTAGATGAGTGGCGGCTGGTGGCCACGACAGTTGTTGTTCGAAATATTCAGCCCACCGGTTGAGGCGTTCTTCCTTATTCGAG